TAGTCATGAACGATAGTGTAACTGCCGTTGTGTGTGGACTCATTCCTCGTTTGACGTAGGCGGTACCGGCTGAGTCGTTCGAAGTCTCTGCCGTTGCCTCAGGCTTGGCAGCTTCGCCCTGGTAAGCTTGCCCATCTCCATCTCCCCCCGCCATTCCTCCAATTCTTCTCCTTTGCCCTCTCCGACATCCTCCTGCCCGCCACTCCTCTCTCTCTCTCTCTCTCTCTCTCTCTCTCTCTCTCTCTCTCTCTCTCTCTCTCTCTCTCTCTCTCTCAAACACACACACGCACACACGCACACACGCACACACGCACACATGCACACAATCAGTTTTAGGTATGTTTGTTTTTCCTCTCTTATTGTTTCTTACTTTTTGTGTCTCTAGCCGAGCACCCTCTAGCAGTGCTAAACAGTCGGTGGTTCCTCATTTGGAGTGCCAACTGCACTCTTAGGGGGGCCGCTCGGTTCGGGATGTCTGTGTTGCCTGTCGCCGCTGTCGGTGATGACGGATGGTCGTCGGAGTGTCTCCCTGGCTCAGCGGGTGGTGGGAACCAACAGTCTGCAGGGTTCAATCGTGATGTGAGTAGGTCATGTGCTGCTTTGCTCCGTGTTGGATGTGGACGTCCTCGTCTGCGCTCCGCTGTTGCCCTGCTGCCTGTCCTGCGTGCTGCAGTCGTTTTTGGCGTTGTGCAGCCTTGTTGCCTCTACTGTGTTGCCTGGTGCTTCACAGGGTTGCTGCTCGCTGCTATGTTCCGCTTGGGGACAGTCTGCCTTCAACAAAGGTCAAAGGGTTCATGACCCAAACCATCAAATACGGAGATTCCGCAGATTGTCGAGGGTTCAGCCTCCTGATGAGTCGGTGCAACTCCGACGAAACAATCTTGTCATCATCAGTTTATTTTTTTTGGTCTTCCGATTTACTTGGGACTTGTACTTGTTTATTTATTTATTATTATTATGATTATTTTTTTTTTTTCCGGTTTGCTTGACTTGGTGTGCTTGTGTCCCTGTTTCGTGTTCTTGCATGTTGTCTGCCCTCCTGCCTCCCCCGTGCCCTCCAGCCTATGCCTTGATGTCCTTTTGCTTGCTTTGCTCTGATGCTTTTCTTGTTTGCCTGGTCTTGGCATTCTTTTGGGACTTGTTTGTTTTGCTTTTTCGGTTTGCCTGCTGGTGTGCTTGCACGTTGTCTGCCCTCCCGCTTCGCCCATGCCTTTTGTTTGGCACTTTGGAAAGCTGATCATGGATAACCACGTATGTACGAGGTAGCTCCAATGAGTTAGTAGAGTGGCAGCATACAGTGTTAGTTTGGTTGCGGCAGGGTGGGGTGTACCATGGGTTCCATGGGGTGCATGGCGAGTACGCCATGGGATGTATTGGACACACACACACACACACACACACACACACGCACACGCGCACACGCACCCACAC